CTGAAAGCAATCAACCCTAGCAAAGTATGATTTAATAGTATGTATATTAAAATAATAATAATAATCCTTGCATTTGATATAGCGCTTTTCACGTCGGGAGGACGTCCCAAAGCGCTTCACAGAACACACTGTTAAGTGAATTGACTGTATATTTGTGGGCGAACGCGGCAGCCAATTGCGCACCGCAATGTCCCACAAACAGTTGTAGATTGAAATGACCAATTTATTATTGTTTTTTGTTTTGGAGGGATTATTATTAGGCGTGTGGAGTAAGGAAACTTGCCCAAGGTTTCGCCCTGCCTGGAATTGAACTCAGGTCTCTCGCTTGCAAAGCGAGTGCTCTAACCACTAAGCTACAGGACTCCACAAAATGCTAGTTGTTAGAAATTTAAATTGCCAATAGGGTTCTCGGTCACTTTATGTCATACGATATAATAGATTGCATCAAATGAGCTTTGATGCATACCCTTACCACATAATCAGAAAACATTAGGTTCTGTTTATTTCAAAATGGCTTTCCTTTTTTTGAATCATATGAAAAATTAAAGTGAGTATTAAATGATAATTTTCAATGTATTTTTATGTTGTGGGAAATTGTGGGAGTTCATAGCAAATCTAACCCTAATTCTGTGTTTACCTGAGTTTCTATTCTTCTTTTTACTCCCACAATTCTCCCCCCCACCCCCCCACATGCCTTTGAGCTTTCAGACACTTTGCAACCACCCTCTGGAACTCCCTAAATCCATCCGCTTTGCACTTCCATTTCTGCTTCCAAAGCCTCCTAAAAAAAAACTACCTCTTTGACTATACCTTTGGTCGCCTCCATCAAGCCTGCTTAAGCTCCCAGTCTTTTTGTGAAGAACTTTGAGATACTGTATATTCAGTTCCAAAAGATGGTAGTCTATACCTAGAATAAATAAATATAAAATAGGGTTGATCCAATAGAGAGTTTCGGAGGAACTTCTTCACGCAGAGAGTGTTGAGAAAGTGGAACTCGCTGTTTGGAAGCTGCGGTTGAAGCAAATAGCATTAAGTATTTATGGCAAACTTCTTGCATACGTAAGGGAGGGAATAGAATGTTACAAGAGAGGTTAGAGTATGCGTTCAGTATAAACGCTACTCCAGACTGGTGAGGGTGATTGGACTGTTTCTGTGCTGTTTCACGCTGTGTCACTCGATGTAAGTGTAATTTTTGAACACATTGTTTATTCTTGCATCTTCTCAGAGGTGATAATAATAAGCCTTACATTTGATATAGCACCTTATCACATCTTCGAGACGTCTCAAAGCGCTTCACAGAATATACTGAAAAGTGAATTGACTATATATTGTGTGGACGAAAGCGGCAGCCAATTATGCACAGCAGTGTTCCACAAACAGTCGTGGATTGAGTGACCAAATTATTATATATATATATTTATTATGTATTATTACCCCCTGAATATATATATTTAAATAAAGGCCGAACTATTTATGTAAATATTTATTTATTTTTGAAGGGATTATTACTGCCGGAAAAACGATCCGCCGATTGACTAACAACCGGATACTTATTTACTGCTAGGTAAACAGAAGCATGTGGAGCAAGGAAACTTGCCCAATGTTTCACACTGCCTGGGAATCAACCCAGGTCCTCTCACTTGCGAGGCAAGTGCTCTAACCACTGAGCTACAGGACTCCACGATGCTTTAATAGGAAAGCTGATTTAATCCTTTTTATTTTAGAAAGTAATTTGCAACTGAAGCATAATGTTTTTGGGTGGGAATAAACACGGGCATTTTAAATGTGATATTCATTGATGTCTAATTGCTAGTGGATGAGCAGCAAAAAAAAAAGGGGGAAAAGTAAATCCAGAATAATGTGTGCACTAAACAGAGCCTGTGGTTTCATTCATACACTACCTTGTGTTCAGGATTCGCACCAATAGTTTCATCTGGAAACAAAAATGAATCCGATTGCCTTCAGCTCAAGCATTGTTTGTTTGTTGAAGACATTCACAATTGAAAATCTAGTGTTTCATGTAAACCTTGGAGTAGTGGGGGAGGAGGGGAAACTAGTCCATTATATTACCTGCAGATATTGAAATACGTTTGAATACACAGAATTGAATGCAGATGTAACCAGCAGTGCATGTAAGGCTCTTAGGATACATATTTAAGACCTGGGATACCTAGATTCTTGTTCAGGCAAAAAAAAGAGTCCTATATGCAACCTAAACGGAATAGTTCCCCTTGAAATGATGCGACCATCCAGTTGCCAATTTTTTTTCCTCCTTATTTATTGCGTATGCAAATCTTCTGATCCAAACCTGCGACCATATAGCAAGCATAGGCCCAAGGACATTTGCCGTTCTTAGCTTGAGAAGTAGGTCTACATTGTTTGCTTGGCAGAACAGTTAATAGTGTTTTTATGTTTGTTGTATTGTGTCTTGTCTGACATTCATGAAATGAAAAATTACCTGACTGAAGCTCTTCAATGTAGGTAATGTGATCCAAACACTTAGCAGCTAATTCATTATTGAGACCTGAGTTCAATTCAAGACAGGGCGAAACCTTGGGCAAGTTTCCTTACTCCACACGCCTAATAATAATCCCTCCAAAAATACAAAACAATAATAAATTGGTCATTTTCAATCCATGACTGTTTGTGGGACATTGCTGTGCGCAATTGGCTGCTGCGTTCGCCCACAAATATACAGTCAATTCACTTTACAGTATATTCTGTGAAGCGCTTTGGGACGTCTAGAAGGCGTGAAAAGCGCTATATCAACTGCAAGGATTATTATTATTATTATTATTATTATAAAGGTGGCTGACAAGACAGCACAAATAGGCAGTAGCTTCAGTTGACCATGTGGGGGAGTTTTATATTTGACAGAGCCCAACAATATCTCAGATTAGAATTGGAAAATTACTCAAGATTTTACATATGTATTGTCACCATTAAAAGTATCTTTTACCTTATCTTTTAAACACTGTAACAGTTAAAAGTACTCAAATTATATGATCTTTGCATACTTCCCATTTGTTACTGTTTAAAGTGGTTAAGCAATCATGGCTTGAATTTAACCACTTAGCACAGTAGGAAAAAAATGTCAGTAGGCTATTTTTGTTTGCTGGTCTGTGTACTTACCAAATCGAAACCATCTACTTCCAGAGCAGTGTTCCAGAGGAAAATTCAAAAAGAATTCCCATGGAAAACATAAATGGAGACCGGTAGCTCAGTGGTTAGAGCACTCGCCTCGCAAGCCGGAGACCTGGGTTAGATTCCCGGCAGGTTGAAATGTTATAATAACAATAATAATCCTTGCATTTGATATAGCACTTTTCCCATCTTCTAGATGTCTCAAAGCGCTTCACCGAATATACTGTAAAGTGAATTGACTGTATATTTTGGGGACTTTTTTTATTTTTTATAATGTTGGGCAAGTTTCCTTACTCCACACTCCCCTGTTTACGGCGCAGTAAGTAGGAACCCGGTTGTTAGTTGATTGGCGGGGGTAAAAATTCCTTTAAAAAAAACTAATAAATTTGGTCACTTCAATCCACTGTTTGTGGGACACTGCTGTGCTCAATTGGCTGCCACGTTTCGCCCACAAAATATGCAGTCAATTCACTCTACATTATAATCTGTCAAGTGCGCTTTGAGAGTCTTGAAGATGTGGTGAGCTAAATCAAATGCAAGGATTATTATTATGATTATTATTATTATAAACAAGTTAAATCCTCAATGTGCTGAATACAGTACATTGCAATCCCTCAATTGTTTGCAATAGATCGCCAACATTTTTTTTTCAGGGTATGACCCTCATCTAAAATTGCTTTGGCACACAAAGGTTTTACTGTTAGTTATAAGAAATCAATATCCTACTTTGAAGGGGGAAATGAAAACAGATGTAACTCAGACCCAAAGTTTCATTGATTTCAACATTTCAGACTGATCTCACCATCCAGTGAAGTTTGTAACATTTTAATTGTATTTATGTGTACTTGAATATGCGTCCAAAGTTCATACAAACTATTTGTAGTTTTGACAATCTCACTGAGTTACTGAAACTACGTTTCAAGTTGGATGTTGGTCCAGATAAATGCTTTCTGAAATTTAAATTAAAACAGTGTGAGTTTGGCTCACCGGCATATTGTGTGTATGTCAGATATAATCACCAACATATTGTAGTTGATGCTGCTGCTTTATTTTCGCTTTACCGCCCCCACCCCTTGTGGGGGCACAATTACCCACTGCCCAAGGCTGTATGAAATTCCCATGGGAACCTTTGAAGTTTGTCAGGATATCTTATAAAATTATATTTTTCACTGAGTATAAAGTAATGTAAAATAAATTGCCTTGTTGGAAATTTAGCTCAAGTTCTGATGGAGGTTAATAAAAAAAACATTGAGCTCTCAAATACCAAATGTGTAATTTTAAACTCAGAGTGGCAAAAAGTCTTATTAGATCAAGTACCAATAATATGTGACAATCAAAATGTTTTGCACAGTTAAGATAATAAGCACTTTTCTATCCTCCTCAAATAATTCATTGTCATGACTTTAAATGAAATGTACAGTGTATGTTTAAAGTGCCAGTGTATACTCCTTCAGTGTTTGCAGTGTCTATGTTCTGGTGTTATGAGGAGTTAAAAAGTTATGTGAGTCAACACTAAACATGAAAGATTCTTCTGCACCTTTTCTTTGTGTTTTGGAGTCCTTTAGAAGTAAAGTATGTGGTGAACTGCAGACTGTGTACTTTAGGTATACAGATATCACCTACTATATTTGGGCTTCTGTTGTGTGCATACCTGGAATCTTGCACACTGGTAACTTGCTTTAGAGTCTAATGCCAGAGGCTAGGATTTTACCTGATGTGTGATTCTTGTCTGTAACTGTGCTTATCATAAACTGACAGCTGTTAAAGAATGAGGCTAACATCAAATGTCCAGATCACCTGCGTAGGTCAATTAGTGTTAATTTTCATAACTGTTTTCATTTTTCCTTTTTCTTAAGCCAAGCCCGATTCCAAGTCCAGTTCTGGGGAAAAAGCCAAATGCTAGTCAGTCACTGCTTGCCTGGTGCAAAGAGGTGACAAAAAACTACAGAGGGGTCAAGATAACAAATTTCACCACATCCTGGAGAAATGGATTGGCTTTTTGTGCAATTCTGCATCACTTCCGGACAGATTTAATGTGAGTAATGAAGTTAGATCCTATGATATAAAAAATGTTTTCACTTGGGCAATATTTTTTTTCTTTTAACGTGTATTTTCAAAATACTGTAGTTTTGCTTTCCCCAAAAAAGCATTTTTCACTCAAGTCATTTTTTTTCTCACTCTGGCTTATGCTGCTAAAATAATTTCATCTTGTTTCTTTGGCGTTAATCTGTCCTACATAGATGTCTTCGGGAAATTTACAAAAAATGTTGGTATTGAAATGGATAAGATGAATAAGCTTTTAGCTCTGTGTACGCTGACAGCAAGGGATTATTGCATGGCAAATTTGGTTTAAAAGACTAGCCTCTGGTGTCTACCTGTTAGCTTCCCTCTGAGATGGAATGCTTTGAGGGGGGGAGGGAAAAACACGTGATTTCTGGTTATTTTTATTTTCCACTCTGGCTATTTTGTTGATTGCATTATAGTAAAATCACCACTGTATGTGTATTAAAGCAATTTTATTGCTTCATTTAATGTACACTTTAAATACACACTGCTTTCTTCCTTCTTTCCCTCTATTTTTCCCCACCCCCTCCTCTCCCCCAGTGACTACAAATCTCTGAATCCTCAGGATATTAAAGAAAACAACAAAAAGGTAAGAACAGCCACAGAAAATGACATGTCTGCAATTTTGGCTTCACCGCTGCTCTTTTAGTAATCCCTGGAAGGTGAGGTTGTTTTGTAAGGTTATAATTGCTGCTCGCAGAAGGTAATCTCCCCTGCAGTTTTATCTGATGCATTATCGACTCCTGTTTGCATTGGTCACAAACGTTTTAAATCTTGTAGAAGAAAGTCTCTGTAATACAGATATACCTTGCTGTGACTTTCATCCATGTATTATGGAAAATATTTTTTTAAAAAAGAAAGGGGTGGGAGGGATTTTACGAGAAACCTTTCTCTACTTATTATAGTGCAGATTTCTATAAATATATCTGTGCTTCAGGTCATCAAATGGGTTATAGCTTGTTTTTCAGAATTGTCTGGAACAGATTTTGTTTCTTGCGCAGTTTATTTCTTCCTTCTGCTATTGCCTGCTGCTTGAGAGCTAGACTGGGTATCTCAGTTGTTTCCTGCAGGTTTATTTCCTGTCCTCACACAATTCTGACTGATAACCTCTACTGCCCTTGTTTGGAATGAATGCAATGTGAGGAACAATGCCTGTGTATAGTAACCATGCAGATGCATAAAGTTTCTGACATTTCCTCCTCCTCACCAATTAACATAACATCTCAAAATGAACGAATGAATGAATGCTTTCTTTGAGGCCAGAGTCTATTCTCCCTCCTCTCCATTTACTAGTTAAAATGGAATTGCAGGTGATCGTTGCAAGGGCAGCAGAGGTTAAATTGAAGGAACGACTCTGTTAGGTGAAGGGCACTGGCAGGTCAGATCAGAACCCTAACCTCTGTTTGAGCTCATTGGAATTGAGAGGGAAATGCTTTATTAAATGATGACTCACCCAGATACATATCAATTGGAAAATAAAATGTGTTTTACAGGTCTTAATTGGGGATTCTCAAAATTTGTTACCAACTTACACAAATGGAATGTACCAGTAATCTGATCTGCACTGATAGATCAGTGCATTGTGTTGCTGAGAAATATTTAAGAGTATTGTCATTGGTGCTGTCGCTGTTGATAGATGGCATTTGATGGCTGTCAATCAGCCTGTCAAACTGGGTCGGAAAGAGTTTTGTGGAAGGAGAAGAATGAGAAGCTTTTTTAAAAAAAAAGTGAAATAGGTCCATACTTGTGGGTAAAGATGTATAGAATCCAGAAGGGGAAACAAATTCCAATAAATGCATTGAAGTAAAACAGTATATATATTTTTATTGTGTTAAATATTTAGTTTCGACTTATAAATTGCTAAGTAAGCTTCCAATTTGTTCCCTGTACGTTTGATTGTTTTACAAGTTCAGTAAATAACATATTGGCTCAATTAAAAGGAAATTTGAGGCCTGGTTAAGTTGGTAACATGCTCACACTTCAGTCAGAAGGTTGTGCATTGAAACTCCACGTTGGGATTGAGCTCATAGTCTAGGCTGCTACTCTAGTGTAGAGTGCTGCATTGCCATAGGTGCCATCCTTCAGATGAGATGAAAAACCAGGGCCCTGGGTACTTGTTCAGGTGGGTGTTAATGCCATGGCACTATTCAAAAAGAGTAGGGAGTTTCTCCCGGTGTCCTGGCCAAGAAAACAAAAACCATTTGCATCACAGCTGTGTATGGTCCATTGCTGTTCACAAATTGGTACAAAATGTTTGAAATTGTATGCATGTGCCTGAGTACCATACACATTGTTCCTGTTGCATTGTATTATTAATAAATAAAAATGTAAACCTTTCTAATAATAATAATAATAATCCTGCACTTGATACAGCACTTTTCATGTCGGGAGGACATCTGAAGGCCCTTCACAGGATTCACCAAAGAGTAGTAAATGGATGTTTTGTCGGCAATGCAGCAGCATTGCCTCACAAACAGTCATAAAGTGAGTGCCCAATCTTTTCTGCGAGGTTGTTATACGGAAATAAAGTGCAAGATTGGAAAACTGTCTGCGAGAAAATGGAAGTAGAAGAGAAAGAATAATGGCATTGATAATTTGTGTTTTCTTATGGTAACAATATTTGGAAGTTATTTTGCAGAAACGCAAGTCATTTTCTGTTTGTTCCCAGCTTGAACCAAATGACCCAGGAAAGTGATTTTAAAGAAATATATACCATTCAGAATTCTCCCACTCGTGTCCTCTCTTGCACCAGCCTCTGGAAACCTGGCTCCCCATCCCCCAGCAGATTAAATTTAAGATGCTTGTTCTCGCATTCAAATCCCTCCACAGCCCCTCATTCCACCTTGTCTGTGTGACCTCCTGCAACCCTACAGTACTGCCCTCAGCAGACACTGGCCTGCGCAATGCCTGTGGTTAATGACCATTTATGGCTGAGCTTTCATTCTGACTTTGGTCTCTGGAACTCAATCTTAGAGTACTTCCATCTCTTCCCCTCCATCCCCACCTTAAGAACTTTCTTTTCAACTGCTATTTCTGTCACCTTTGCCTGACTCTCTCCCCCTCCGCCACCTAATCTTGGGCTCCTAGTCTGGATCACTGTGAAGCACTTTGGGACATCTTCGAGACGAGAAAGGTGCTATATAATGTAACAATTGTTGTTGTTGTACACGGTAATTATTATAGAATCAGTTCTTCTATGTTGTAATAATGGAGAGTCCGGCTCTACAAGTAAAAGTAAATCTAGAGCAGAACTTGTTTAGCGTACATTTTTCATAACGTAATCGTGTTCTAAATATTACAATTATTCTAATGAATGAGTGATGTCTCCCAAGATTTGTGGTAGTTTCACTTAAATAAAATAAAAAAGATTTACATAGAAGATAATGAGTGCACGGACGTGATTATAATAAAATAATCTGACTGAAGGGTTCAGATAACAACATAAACCATGAGGACAAAGGTCAAGCCATTTGAACCCAAAAATTAGATTACTTTCAAAACAACAACAATAACAAAGCGACATTTGTAAAGCACCTTTCACTTCGGGAGGATGTCCAAGGACATCCTTTCGCTGTAATTACTCCTGCCCAATTTTGTTTTTAAAAATTAAAGCAGTATTATTTTTAACCAATAAAATTACATGACCTGTTGCCTTGTGGAAGATGTTTCCCACGCCCACATCTCACGCGTGATGTCCTCACGGAAAGATTCAATTTGTGGCATAATCATTGCAAGATTATGGCAGTTTAATCTGCAGTGGATTACTGGAAAATGACACTGCTCTGTATATTATATAAATTTAATACTTTATTCACTTCAAAAATGATAAACTCCTACAGCATTTCAGACAAATGCTTGTATAAGATTTCTACTTTTCTTCGTCAAAAGCTGCGAACATGTGGTACTGGAAATTTCTCCCACAGCCATTGACCGTGTAAAACTCTGATCAGCCATCAGAGGAAAGCTCACAAATGGGATTGAATGAAAGAACTCCTTGTTCTTGAACCACCAGGCAAGCCATTTTTTCGACACAAAGCTGCACTTTTAAAATAATATTAATACCCTTCGGGGTGACTACAGTTTTCTTCTGGGTATCAGTTTATCGTCTGCAAGTTGAAAATCATAATGCAAAAAAAAATGTTCAGGTAAATTAACTCTTAGCCACTGGCTCATTTCTACAACAGAACTCTTTAAAAACAAATATTTGAATACTTTTTTTTTGCCTGATACACAATGTGAACATAACTTCTCTATACAGATGGGGACAATGTAAACTTAAGTTCTCCATAATATATTTCGCCCACAAAATATGCAGCCAATTCACTTTACAGTATATTCTTTGAAGTGCTTTGAGTCTCAACGACGTAATAAGGCTCTATATCAAATGCAAGGATAAGAACATAAGAAATGCTGGACGAAAAAAGACCACGGTCCATCTAGTTCGCCTTCCACCCTCCTGGCGGTTGAATGCACATGTGTCCCAAACTACCTATGTACTATATCCCATATAGTTATTTCCTAAAAGTAAATCATATAATCTAACAATTATTATTATTTTTATTAGAAACATGGTTTGAACTAGATGGTAAAAGCATTTATGTTGTGATAAGAATGGAAGAGAAGAGGATACAAGATGTGAAGTTGAATGACAATATTGTTTATAGTACCTAAAGACGAACACCTGTATATATCGATAACATAAGCAGCAGCAAACGAGACAATTCTGTACAGAAAGGCTAACCTGATGAATGAAACAAAGCTTTTTACATGCTCTTCCAGTCACTGCTTTTTGTTGAATCCCATCACTCTTGAAATTTTGATGTCAACTCCTTGATTGTTAGACTTGTAACATTTCAACTGACATTTTTGTGACATAGAAAATATAAGAATCCTACACAAAAATGCCGAACATAAATTCAATGGAATTTATGCAGGTCTACGCCCATATATCTCGGCTCAGCCTTTTCAACTGATTTCCGTTTGGTTCTATAGTTAATAGTTAATTTTCTGATCAGCTGTCCTTCCAGGATATTTGATTAATAGATTAATAATTTAGGAATTGAGTAGTTTCAATAAATGGCAAAAATATGGTCATCCTTTGTTCTTGATGACTGAGTGACTATTGCCGCTCCTCTGTTTTCATTTCCCTGAGTACTGCTTCTTCAGCTTTTGAACAGTGCTTGTTGAAAGTATCTAATTTCCTTTCGTATATTATTCGGAAAAAACCAATAGAGCCAGAAGACAAATTGACTTTTTCAGAAACCAAATTGTAAAGACGGCATGAGACTTTCCATATCTTTAGCGTTCCTGTTTCATCTTTGTGATAAAATGCAAATTGACTTTTTTGTCAGTTTCTTAGACTTCTTATGAGCTAGAAAGAATATTAAAAAAAAATTCAAATGCAGTAGCGTTTTGAAGATATTTTTCTTCCTAGTTTCCTCGGTCATTAAAAAGGTAAATGATGGTGTTCAATCAGCTAGCTAGTGCTATACAAAGATCCCAGAAATCTCAACTATTCTGTTTTTAATCCATGTCTTTAAAGTGCCAAGCTTTTCCTCTTCTGGATGTGCGAAAAGATTTGCATAGAAA